TACATGATTGCATGCGAATAGAGTATCGTAAAAGATTGTTTAATGAGAAAACTAATTGGAGATATTCTCTTGAGCACGATTATTTTGATGTAGTAGAAGTTCTACTTAATAAGTTATGTGATAAGAGCGTGATCGCATGTGAACACCTGTTATATGATCTTTAAACATGATCGTATCTGTAAGCATGAATTGCTTGATAAGCTATTTGAGAAGTCTACATGTTGATGAATATACGTGATTAGTCTTATACATATATAAGCTTGTCAGTTGTTATTATAGGGTTCAAGCATCTAGAAAGAATACGATAATCTAAAGATGGTTTGAGATTAATTTATTGATATAATGATATCAAATGTTTTCCAAGTACATGCTAGAATGCTTTACAGGGTTGAGTGTGGTTATACTTAGCTTCGTGATAACGGGTGTTTTCCTGTTTGTCTATGTGTTGCTTGCAAAACCCCTTTCAAGTGGGCCCAACAGTGAGAGAAGATCAAGTTAGATTAGTCTCTTAGTTTGAGCTGTCTAAACTCTAGTTCTATTTATGATGTCTTTATGGATTTAGACTTATGACCCTATACTTTATGATGATGTTTGTAGACTGTTTTGGGGTGACGTATTTTCCCCTTACTTTTCAGTATTTACTTTAGTACCCAGACTTAATCGTATGTTATAGTTTTACCCCTTTTAGCCCGTGCAATCACCAAGAGTGGTGGTTGTAGCAGTGACACCCTCACTACTTTTATCTAGTTTTCCGCTGCTTAATTTATGTTAAAGTCTGTTTAGAGAGATAATTAAGATTTACAAAAGTGGGGTGTTACAAATAGAAATATGAATTTTAATATTGTTGTATTACTAATATTATGTTTGACTATTTTACTACTCAATCATCCTTTTTTGACAGACATATGTTCAAATATTATATATATGTTATGATAACGATAAAATTTACAATAATTATAATATATGTTGCTTCTTATTTCTAGTACTAGTTTTTTACGCGCATTGCGCGATTGGGATAATGCCCAATGTGTTTTTTTTTTTTTTAAATAAGTACTTTAAAGTATATCAAGACAAGATTATATTCGAATTTTTCATGAATAGATAATTGAATGTTGAATTTGTGTATTTAAATATGTAATTCTAAGTTTACAAATGGAAGATAATATAGTCAAGATTGATTATAATTGTCAATAAAATAATTGTATAGGTATGGTTGAAACCACATAAGGGAGAGCAAATAAAAATTAGGGTATAAAATATTAAATATATACTAATATTGAAGAGCTAACCGTAGATTGTCGAACAAGGACATTGCGAGGTAGTTTCTCACTTCAATTTGTTGTGTGATTTGAATACTCTTTTTGTCAATAAATCTCCCAAGTAGTTAATATGATTGGATTAATTATTTTTTTATTTTTTTTAAAATTATTATTATTATTATTATTATTATTATTATTATTATTATTATTATTATTATTATTATTATTATGTATACCCTTAGCTCATTTTACATGTTAATCTAAACAACTAATTTTTTAAAATTTTTTTTTTAACAACCGTTGATATAATTCGCTGGTCAAATCTGCTAATATAATTTGCTAACACTATTGTCAAACAAGGACATTGCGAGACAGTTCTCACTTCAATTTTTTTTTGTGTGTGATTTGAATACTCTCTTTGTCACCAAATCTCTTAAGTAGTTAATATGATTGACTTTATTAATTATATTTTTAAATTTTTTCATGGTATTAATAAAATACTTGGTAAATAAATATATAGCATTATTTGTGGTATAACTTTGATATTTAATTAAAAAAAATAGTGCACAAAAAAGATAATAGACAATGTAGTGAATATAATCAATTGATGAATTTGAATGTAAAGAATTTTTACATTGGAGAAAAATAAAGACAATATAACTAATAAAATTATTTCTCTTAATGAATTTATTGATAATGATTTTTTTTTTAAAATAAAGACATTGTAGGGACAATGTAGCGAATATAATCAATTGATGAATTTGAATGTAAAGAATTTTTATATTGGACAAAAATAAAGACAATACAACTAATGAAATTATTTCTCTTATTTTTTTTTTATAAATAATGAATAAATTTTTTTTTTTTTTGAATAAAGACATTGTAGATACATAATTCTAAATTAAAGAAATGCATATGTATTATTTTTTTGTTGTAGCTACTAAATTATTATTTTAATTTAATAAGAGTAAAATAGAGTACTAATTATGCCAACTTTGATTGGGATGTGGTTCGAACCTAAGACCTTTCTTATTGAAATCAATGAATAAGTTAACGGTGAACTAACAGAAATTAACAGAAAACATAATATTTAACGGAAAAGTTAACGGATAATCATATTCATAAGGATAAATTAGAAAGTCTTAAAGAAAAATTAAAATATGATCAATCTCAGCCATTAATTTAATTAAAAAATTTGACCGTCATTTTTTCTACCTAACTCTCTTAGGCTCTTATTAGTATGGTAGATTTGTACTGCCAGATTTATTTGTCACACATGAAGTATTATAATAGTGTTTTAATATTGTCCTATTGTATTACAAATATGAATTTTAATATAGAATTATAGTACGAATAGAAAAGTAGAAAAGAATATATTTTATTACGAATTGTATTACACTATTTTATATTATTATAATAAAAATTTTAATGTAGAATTATAGTACGAATAGAAAAAGTATGCAATAATATATTATATTAGTAATTGTATTACACTATTTTATAATATTAAAATATGAATTTTAATGTAGAATTATAGTAAGCATAGTAAAGTAGAAAATAATATATTAAAATTTGAGAATTTTGAACGGAAAGTTAAGTTAATGATTTTGTTTTTATATAAAGTATAGATAGATAGATAGTTAGATAGATATCTACAAATCTAATAAGAGCGAATAATGTTAGGCCCTTAACTGGAACAAAAAAAATGTCGGTACTAATTGTTTCTTAAAATGAATGGTTCATATTATTTTGATTTTAGTATCTTTTAATGATTTTCCTTATTTACCCTCTATTATATTATTTTCTTCCCTTAAATAACCCTAAATTCTACAATCTACAAATCTAATAAGAGCGAATAATGTTAGGCCCTTAACTGGAACAAAAAAAATGTCGGTACTAATTGTTTCTTAAAATGAATGGTTCATATTATTTTGATTTTAGTATCTTTTAATGATTTTCCTTATTTACCCTCTATTATATTATTTTCTTCCCTTAAATAACCCTAAATTCCGTTAGTTTAAACTTTAGTAACGGAATATTCCGTTAACTATTTATTATTCTTAACATACTCTTAATTTATATAAGGTCTTAGGTTCGAACCCCATCCCAAGTATAATTGACATAATTGTTAAACATATATTCCGTTAACTATTTATTATTCTTAACATACTCTTAATTTATATAAATTTTTAGGTTCGAACCTCATCCCAAGTATAATTGACATAATTGTTAAACATATATTATGAATATGTTAAAATGTATTAAAAAAATATATAATATAAAATTTAACATAAACTTTGGTCAAATAATTAGCTCGACTAAATACATAGCATTTAAAGTTGAGCATCAAATATTATAAATCATGAACTACTTTAAAATTATTTGATTTTCTTGAATTTTTTTATTAAAAAAAAAAACAAATTTATGTTAAGTTTTTTTTTTTTTTTTTTTTTTTTTTTTTAAATTGATCTTCTTCTGATTATTTAGAACAAAACTTAATATTTCAATTATGCTTTTGTATTATTGGAATGATTTAGGCCATTATGGTATTAATAGTTTTTTTTTGTATTTTTTTATAATGGTACAATTGTACATTACATTACTAATATTATACTATTATTTTTTTTATCGAACAATGTTCTTACATCATTGTCAGACCTGCGCGGCCTAACTACAAAGTTGTTGATCAAATATAATTTCATTCGTTATATTATCTTTATTTTCTACAATTCAAAGATTCCTTACCTTCAAATTTATTAATTTATTATATTTGCTACATTGTTCATTGTCTTCTATTTTACATTATCTTGTAATTAAATATCAAAGTTATAATACAAAACATGTTATATATATATATATATATATATATATATATATATATATATATATATATATATTTATTTATTTATTTATTTACCAAGTATTTTATACAAATATAATAAATATTAATATTTCGTTCAATACTTTCACATGATAACCTGGGACACACATCTCACAACACATGAAACATGTAGGAAAAAAACTACCACTACTAAATATCAATAGGTGTTTGTACACTAAAGAGTTCATATTACAACTAAAATTTCAGTCATATACACAGCAAGGTAAATCTAAAACTTCCTACACCATAATCTCATTGCATGATGAATCCATCTATGCTGCTACCAGTAACCTAATTGCATATGAAACACTACCAATAAAGAAAAAAAGAGGACATGTACTGAAGATGAAAACAATAACAATGCTACCCGAAAAAGAATTAAGAAGAATTAGAGAAATTTAAATCAAAAGTAGTATTTATTTAGACTATCGCTTTAAAACTAAATATTTAGACTAGCGTTATTACAAAGTTGCAAACATTTATTTTAGTGACAATTATAATCAATCTCTCATATATTATCTTGCATTTATATACTTTAAATTACCGATTTAAATAAACAAATTCAACATTTATTTACATATGCATGAAAATCTCCTATATAATATTGCATTGATATACTTTGGAATACTTATTTAAAAATAATTATTGGGCATTATCTCATTCGCACAAAGTGCGTAAAAGAACTAGTATTATATAAGGATTAGTTATAAACTTATAATAAGGATAAAGTTGGAATAATTTTCTAATTAGGGTAAACCATTAATTTCCGCAACAAAATAAATGCAAATTTCCTAAAAGTGAATAAATCTCGAAATTTCTTTTACGCACAGAAATATATAAAATACTCCGTAGTTACTATATTGATTCTCTTCTCAAAGTAGTTGAAAAACAAAACCCTAGGGGGTTCTCCGCAAGAACAATCGCCGCCGGCTTGATCTTTCTCTCAACTTAACCCTACTACACCCTTCAGAGCGGTTCCCACTCTGTATCAGTTCTGCGCTCTCTGGTTTATCAAGCCTCTTTTTTGAAATTCCATTGTTTTTGCATTGTTCAACCATTTGCAGTAATTTAAGCAAAATAAGTGATTTTTATGCTTCTTAGATGTTTGATCACAGAGGGTTCATAATTTTTACTTAGAAAACCAACATATATTAAAGTTTGTATAATCGAAGATTGGATTTTATGAGCTGAAAGTCCTGATTTTTAGGTTTTTACATGTGAGTCTTGATTATTTTAGGGTTCAGATTACAGAGTTGTTGGTTTCATAGCCCCTTTTCTGTCGTTTTTAGGGTTAGTGGTGTTGGCTGTGGGATTTTGAGTAATTGGTGAATTTGCTGAGCTTGTGAATATGTTATCTGAATTCAGTAGGAGGCCAATGATGGGAAACAATGAAAACTCGTTTGGAGATGATTTTGAGAAGGAGATAGGGCTTTTACTTTCTGAACATCGTCGTCAAGAGGCTGATGATCTTGAAAAGGAACTTAATTTATATAGAAGTGGCTCAGCTCCTCCTACTGTGGAGGGTTCTTTTACTGCAGTTGGTGGTTTGTTTAAACATGGTGCTGGAGGTGGTAGCAGTGGCGTTGGAGGGAGCTCCACCATTCAGGAATTTGCGCGGAACAAAAATGGGAATGGTTTCATATCAGAAGAGGAGCTTAGGTCAGACCCTGCTTACTTGTCTTACTATTATGCTAATGTGAATCTGAACCCTAGGTTGCCTCCTCCTCTGATGTCCAAAGAGGATTGGAGGTTTGCACAGCGCTTACAAGGAGGGAACTCTGCAATAGGGGATAGGAGGAAAGTAAACAAGAATGATGGTGCCATGGTTGGTAGGTCACTATTTTCCATGCCACCAGGATTTAACTCAAAGAAAGAGGAGACTGAGAATGAATCAGACAAATTACAGGGTTCAGTTGAGTGGGGTGGGGATGGGCTGATTGGTTTGCAGGGATTAGAATTGGGTACCAAACAAAAGAGCATTGCTGAGATATTTCAGGTGCATATATGAACAGTTATATGTCTTTATCTATGTCTAATTTCTGTTTTACTATTGAATGTTTTAGGTACACAGATTGAGTTTCACCATTTGATGCTTTGAAATGTGAATTAGGGGGTATATTTGTTGCTTGGAAGTTCCTGTCTCTGTCCAGCCACTTTTTTTTTTAGTTGGTGAATGTTGCAGAGGGATGCTAAGCAACTTTGCTTGATCTTTTGCCTGTTTGATTGTTGTATTGTATAAGGCTGTTTTGTTTGACCAAACTAAAATAGATTGCTTAGTAGTTTTTTGGATTTTGATTAATTCCAGCCAATTATTTGTGCTTGAAAATTTGTATTTATCATGGCCTGGCATATATACATATATATTCTTGGTACATCTTATTGGGTGGGTTGGTTGATGTTGATGGACTTTTATTTGTTCCAGTATATTATCATATAACAGATGAGAGGTATATTTGGTCTCAAATAATTATTGGAAAATATATATGCATTTATTCTTATTTGGTTTCCTGAACAAAGCATTGCTTCTTTTTTTTTTTCTCCAAGGAAATACTTTTGTTTGCCCATCAGTGTTTAACTTATAATTTTTTTTTTCCAAGTAAGGACTTCTTAAGCATTTGCCTATTGTTTTTAAACAGTTATATAGGTAGATTGTGGGCAACCATATTGGATTGTTTGCAATTTGCCTGCCTTGAGCATTTCTTTTTCTTGACAAATTGCATTAGGGCGTTATTTTGTTCTTTAATTATTGTCTATTTGTCTTGAGAATGGTCAATGCTCAATTATCATTTTGGCTTGTTTACTTGTGGTTCATGTAGAATGATTTGAACCGTGTTCCTGCATCTGGTGGTCGCCTTTCACGCCCAGCAAGCCGTAATGCATTTGATGCTAGCGATGATAACTTGAATTCTGCAGAACCTGATATTTCTCACCTTCGTCATGACATTTCATCCTTAGACCCATTAAGGTCTGCAGCAAATGCCCAGGGTTCATCTGTTCAACATGTAGGACCGGCCTCATCATATTCATATGCTGCTGTTGTGGGTGCTTCATTGTCAAGAAGCACCACTCCCGATGCTCAACGTGTTGCTACTGCTCCTAGTCCTTGCATTACTCCTATTGGTGGTGGGAGGATTGTTACATCAGAGAAAAAAAGTATTAATAGTCCAAAAACATTTAATGGTGTCACTTCTCATACAAATGGGCCCACAGATCTGGTTGCTGCTTTGTCTAGTATGAACCTTTCAAATGGTATGGTAGCTGAATATAATTGCTTTTCTTGTATTGGAAATAATAGTGGTGACAGTGTGGATGATCTATTTAACTTTGCAGGTAGTCAGAGTAATGCAAAACAGCATGCTTACTTGAAGAAATCTGAATCTGCACATTATAATATTCCTTCTGCTTCTCAGCAGACTAGAGCACAATACACTGAGGCCGGTGCTAGCAACGTTGATGACCTTCATAGTTCTATTCTCCAATCTGACCTTCACAAATCTACTGTTAACTCTAATAACTCATACCTAAAAGGATCTCCTACTTCAACGCTCAATGGTGGAGCTGGCTTACTTTCTCATCACCTGAATTTGGACAGTTCCAATACACCATATTCAAGTTATGGGTTGAGTGGCAATTCTGCCAATCCAATGTCGAGTCAGCATGGCAACTTTAATCTTCCACCCTTATTTGAAAATGCTGCAGCAGCATCTGCTATGGGTGTTCCGGGAATGGACTCAAGAATGTTGGGTGGTGTAAATTTGAATGCTGCTGCATCTGAGCAGTACCTTGGTAGGATGGGAAATCAGATGGCTGGTGGTGCTTTGCAGGCACAATTTATGGATCCACTATATGCTCAGTACTTAGTTCAGTTTGCAGCACTTAATGATCCTTCCATGGATCGGAGCTATATGGGCAATTCATATATGGACTTGCTTCAGAAAGCTTATGTTGGCAACATGCTATCTCCTCAGAAATCACAGTATGGTGTTCCATTGAATAGCAAAAGCATGGGTTCTAATCATCATGGCTACTATGGGAATCCTGCATTTGGTGTAGGTTTCTCATATCCCGGGAGTCCATTGGCAAACTCTCCTATAGGACCTGGAAGTCCTATGAGGCACAGTGATCATAGTATGAGATTTTCTGGAGGATTGAGAAATTTAGGTGCAAGTGTTGGAGGCTCCTGGAACTTAGATAACATGGAAACCAGTTTTCCATCCTCTCTCCTGGAAGAGTTCAAGAGCAATAAAACTAAATGTTTTGAGCTATCAGAGATTGCTGGTCATGTTGTTGAGTTCAGGTGTGTAACTCTTTTATATAATAGGGATTGAGCCTTAGTTATTCAGCACCAACATATTTGTTTGTTTTATGACCAGTGCTGACCAATACGGGAGCCGATTCATTCAGCAAAAATTAGAGACTGCCACAGCAGAAGAGAAAAGCATGGTTTTCCAGGAAATTATTCCTCATGCAATTACATTGGTGACTGATGTCTTTGGTAACTATGTAATCCAAAAGGTATGTAGTATTCCTCTTCTTGGATTCTATGGAATATGTATTATTGATTAGCTCTTACTATATTAATTAAAGTTGCTGTAACTATCAATATTTTATTTCAGTTTTTTGAACATGGAATGGCAACTCAGAGGAGAGAACTAGCTAACAAGCTCTTTGGGAGTGTATTAACATTAAGCCTTCAAATGTATGGCTGTCGAGTGATCCAGAAGGTACAGCAAGCAGTATTGCAAGATGCACTTGCCTGTAAAGGGCGTCTTTGAAATTGTTGGATGTATCGTTGAATATAAATATTATATTACTTTTTAGAATAATGTAAACAATCAAGTATATGGCTTTGCTAGAGTTTTAGTTTTCTGTTGGTTCTCTTATGTTTCTTGTTTTACTGAATTATGGGGATAACTTGACCAAACATGCTATTTGATTTTAATATTCAAGTTGCATTGATAATAATATTTTGCTATCGAACAGGCAATAGAAGTAGTTGATGTGGACCAGAAGATTAAGATGGTTGAGGAGCTCGATGATCATGTCATGCGTTGTGTACGTGATCAGAATGGGAATCATGTCATCCAGAAGTGTATTGAATGTGTGCCAGAAGATCACATTCAATTTATTGTTTCAACATTTTTTGGTCAAGTTGTGACGCTATCTACTCATCCATATGGATGTCGAGTAATACAGGTAGAAGGATAATGGCCTCTGGTTGCGTTTTGTAATAGATTTACTATTTTGCTGAAATAAATTTCTTTATTTGGCAGAGAGTACTAGAACACTGCAACGATCCACAAACCCAAAGTAAAGTCATGGAAGAGATTCTAGGATCTGTAAGCACATTGGCACAGGATCAGTATGGTAATTATGTTGTACAGGTATGGAGGCTACTTTACAAAATATGTATTTATAAGAATTAAGCGCACCTATTTAGTAGTGGTAATTTAATCTTCTATGTTAAACATGCTTTTGTAGTCAACCTCGTTTTGATGTGAGAATGGTACTCCTGTGTTCAGAATGCTCCTATACTCACTTGACTTACAATTTTTTTTTTTTTCCTTAATAAACCGAACAACTGTAACAGCATGTACTGGAGCATGGAAAGCCGCATGAGAGGTCTACTATTATTAAGGAATTAGCTGGTAACATTGTTCAGATGAGCCAGCAGAAGTTCGCTTCAAATGTTGTAGAGAAATGCTTGACATTCGGTAATGCTAGTGAAAGACAACTTCTCGTGAATGAGATGCTTGGCACAACTGATGAAAATGAGCCACTTCAGGTTTGTCAATTTCATTCTGCTTTCATTATTCTTTGCCAATTCCCGTATGTTTCATAATCATCGGCTGCCATTGTTGTTTCATGGCTGAAAACAATTATATTTAGAGGCTGCCGTCCTTGATGATTTGATAAAGTATGACCTTGACCGGGTGTATGAATTACCCATATTTTTTTTTTTTTGTGTAGGCGATGATGAAAGATCAGTTTGCAAATTACGTCGTACAAAAAGTTTTGGAAACTTGCAGTGATCAGGAGCGTGAACTGATCCTTTCACGCATAAAAGTCCACTTGAATGCATTGAAGAAATACACCTACGGGAAGCACATTGTTGCACGTGTTGAGAAACTCGTTGCTGCCGGGGGTGAGTAATTCTTCTTCCCTTCTCGCTCACTCTCGTCTTTTCTTCAGGACGTTGTAGACATGCAGCACTCCCTAATTATCAGTGTTGCAAAAATTGCGAATCGGCGCCTAGGCGCTAGGCAGTCGGGCTCCTAGGCGCTCCCCTGGTGCCTAATTGGCGCCTAGGCGCTAGGCGCTCTGCGGTCGGCCTCCTAGGCGCTCCCCAGGTGCCTAGAGGGCTAGCGATTTTTTCAACATTGCTAATTATTACTTTCTTCGTCTTGAATGCAGAAAGGAGAATGGCTGCTCAGACTCCAAATCCCGCATAGATCTTCATAGAAAAGAAAGATGTACAGCTAACCGAGGCTAGTTTGAGCTGCCTCTCTCCCTTTCTTTTCTCGATACCTAGTTCTCTGGCTCCTCCGTGCCCTTGTTCCGTGATCTGTGATTGCAAATAAAGTTGTTGCTCCTACTAGAGATCTGTACATTATGTAGCTTAAAGAAGTCTCTATACACAGAACTAAGTAAAGCTAAAAGCCAGGCTGTTACATATTCTGATGGCTGTTGCAGAGGAAGTGAAGCTTCTATTATAAACCATGTAAAAATGATACCAACCTGGCCATAGTAGTTTTTATATGATCAACGTGACTGTACAAATGTTACCATGTTGAGAGATATGATGTTTTAGGCATGGCTGGCCAGAGTTTTCATGTATGCTACTTAGTATTTATCATGTTCTTTTAATGCTGAGTTATATGTTTTGTATGCCTCAATCTTATATGCTAAAAGCCCAAAAGTTGTTTGATTGGAGAAAGTATTAATTAGAAGTATTAATTTTGGGGAAAATGGTCAAATAGGTCCTTGAATTTTACAATGAAGTTCAAAAATTGGTTAGTGACCTGTTATTGTAAGTCACTAGAGTTTCAGCGTCCTTTTCCACAAAAAATCGACTGCCAGCGACCGGCGCGGTCGCCTTCTCCCGCGACCATTCTTGGTCGTTTGGTCTCGGAGAGGATAGAATTGGTCGCCTTTTCGGAGAAGGCAACTAGGTTTTGGTCGCTTTCTCCGGAGAAGGCAACTAAGTTTTAGTCGCCTTCTTCGGAGAGGCAACCAATAACTTCAAGATTTTAAGATGGATTCTCAGTGAGAATGACTTATTAGTTTTTTTAATTTGAGTCAGTTGTTTTCTTAATTTAAGTCTTAAGTTGGTTAACTATGTTTTTTTGTGATTTTTTAACAGTTAAAAACATAAGGTGAGATTTATTTCAGGTAATAGTTGTAGGTTGTAAACGAGTTAAGTCCAAAATTTCTTTTTAAATATAACATCTGGTATTTTTATTAACCGAATTGAATTGGAATGAACATTGGAAAAGAGTGCCCAAAGAGAAGAATAAACATATGTAAAAAGGCTGCAATTTGATAACATCAATCATCATCTTCTTCAACAATCTTTTGCCCAAAGCCTCTTGGTCCAGCTCTAGCTCTACTTACAACTTTCCCCTTTTTCCCACTCTTCTTCTTCTTCTTAGCTGCCTCTTCTTTTTCAAACTTGTCACTCTCCCTTTTCTGCAAGTAATCTGTTACAGATATGTAGATAACCTGAAAGAAGAAAAAGAAACATGAACCCAGAAACCAAAATCTTGAATTTAACACATTCATGGCCACAAAATCAAGAATTTCATTTGAGTGAAATGAAAAACCCGTAACAATTATTCGAATGTACGCATAAGATAAATTTCACTTTGTGAATCTAACCGATAAAAGGTAAAAACAATCTAAGTTGTTCATAATTAACTAACTCAAACCAAGATAGTCGGTAGGCAACTCTAATTGAAAGTATAACATGTAAAGTGGTCTTGTTGGTAATATAGTTAATTTATCGGCTGATTTTGACTTTTTTAGCACGGTTAGCTGTTTGATTTGGTTAAACAATCAATATGAATATTTGATTAATTAATTTTATTGTAACAGTTTATTGTTCCAAAATGTTAAAATTCAAAAAGTTTCTCAAATGGACTTTTTAAGAAAATATCAACTAACAACTAATTTACCAAACACATTTTTACGATTAGTAATATTATCAACTAGTCAAACTCACTAACACAATAAGCTAACAACTATTTACCAAATAACACATTTGGTTTGCCCATCCATCACATTTTCAGAGAATCCCTACTAAGCTTGGTATGAACAAATTGGAATTCAGGTGAAAGAAGGTTGACATATGAACTTTACCCCGACAGTGAGAACGGATAAGCCGGCGAAAGCAATCAAAAGCAGGGTTGATATGACGGACGACGTTCCACCATCGGCCGTCGAAGCTATTTCCGGGGAATTCAGGACCGCGTCTGCTTCTGAGAGCAGGAAATTCTCCGGGAAAGCAGAGATTCTCCCTCCATTCCGGCGAGAATGGGAAATCCTCCTCTTGGAGGAAAGTTGGGATGGTGAAGTTACCGGGAAGAGAAGTGAGAGACGAGAGCTGTGGGCGGTGAACGGTTGAAGCTCTTTAAGTGGCGGCGGCGGCGGCGACGACGGTGGAGAGAGAAACAGAGATAGACACGAAACAGCCATGTCTCATCTCATCCGCCACTCCCTCTCAGTCTCGGAGATTCAATTGCTGTCTAATGTCGTGCTGGGCTTTCTATTGGGCTATTTTAATGGGCTTCTTTATATAATTAAGTGGTGATTTACGGCCCAATACAGTGGACCCACTTTAACAAAGTACCCAACGTTGATACTCCTTTACTTCATCAACGGTGTATATTGCTCTGCCGGTGCCGCTTTCTAATCCAGACCCTTCTTTATGATTCGCTTTTTCTAGGATAAGAGTATCCATACTAGTAGTTATTTAGGAGTTATTTCTACATGAATTCTCTTCACCAAAAGTTAATAGCTGATGTGGAGAGGAGTTATTTCAAAAATATTTCTTCTGCAAAGTATGGTATATTTGTGGGTCCAGTAGGTAAGAGAAAATAATTAAAATATAGTGAGTTAAATGATGGATGCATAAAAAACTGAGAAATAACTCAAAACTGATGTGGGGAAGGTTTTTGTGATTGAATGAGATGGTGGAAGATGAGGTGGAGATGAGGTGGATGCTGAGACCCACAAATAACTGAAAAATAATCTCAACTGATAAGGATGCTCTTAGAAGCGTATCGCGCCTGAAGGCCAAAGCCAGGCGTGTGCATGTCAGCGTCTAACTTTCTGATTACCTTTATTTTCCTTTTAATTTTAAATTCTATTTTTTTCTTTCCTTTTTTTTTTCTTTCCCTTCCCCATTCTCTTTCCTAATCACTCTTACAATAACCCCATAATATTCCTAACTGATAATGTTGCTCTTATATATATACAAGAAATATTTTTCTGACCTTATAATTGCATTAAGAACTGATAGATATGTCTAACCTAAAACTCTTTAATATTACACATACATATAAGCATTGATCCTCTAATCTTGTAATTGTATTGTATTAACAATGTGCTTACCCACAATCTAACGATGTTGGATTAACTTTTTTTTTTTTTTTTTTAAGATAATTTGCTTGACACAATTATAGTAAGAATTATAGTTGACATCGCTCATGGATTTTCTGAATATTTTTTTTAAAATTGCAATATATAATATTTATTACATAATTATTATAATGCCCCATAGAAATAAAATATTATGATCTGCAAAAGAATGATTAAATAGAGGCATTTGACCTGAGAAATGAAAATGACAAGTTAATGCCTTGGAGCATTGTGATAAGTTGGCATTAATTCATTAACTTAATAACTTCATTGTCTTCATTTGTTATGGATAATTATCCACCTAAAATGTCGTTTTCCCCATTCTTATATTTAATGAATGTGTCTTCTTCACCAATGATTTATAAACTCCTTTATTTAATATAATACCAAACAATTTTTACTTAGGAATACTCCCTAATGGAGCTAGAATTTTCAACTAAGAAAATTATTGCCTATTGGTAAACTAGCGGCGGTTTGTAATCATCTTTAACTTTGTATTAAGTGATTTAGGCAAAGTCTTCCTTAAACAATGTCTAATATGAAATGGAGTAATCACAAATTGACCCAACAATTGATTTGATAACTACAAGGTCTCAAAATTTAACTTTCTGTATGAGTTGTTTATGACCTTCTTGATTTGAAGCGGTTAGATATGCATAATTTATGCTTATTTATCTTATTGTTTTCATTTGACAATTATAACCACTTTATGAACTTCACTCAAAGTCATTTTCGGATATTGGTTGCAGGAAGACTACAAAAATTCTTATTAAATTTATTAGTAAAATGTGGAGATGCAAAGTGGGTCGAGTTACTCATAGCTAGGCTAGTTTAATCCATTATAGACCGACTCAACATGTCTCATATTGCGATAAGATCATGCCAGTACGAACATTGTTGTACATGAGGTCGGGTCGTAGCAGTGTAGCACTATAATAGAATAGCTAATCCGCGACTGTTGTAAAGGATTTTGCGCAACTGTTGTGCAACAGTCGCGGATAGGGGTGTTAGCGAACAAAGCTTTCGGCAAACTACTCGTGTTCGTGTTCGTGTTCGGTAAGCTTTCGTTTATGTTCGTTTGTTAAAGTAAATGAACCATTAACAAACAAAAATTAGAGCTCGTTTAATAAACGAACAGAGCTTGAACAGTTATATGCACGTTTGCTAAGAGATCGTGAACAAGCTCGTTTGTGTTCGTTTAATAATGTTCATGAACAAGCTCGTTTGTGTTCGTTTAATAATGTTCGTGAACAAGCTCGTTTGTGTTCGTTTAATAATGTTTGTGAATAAGCTCGTTTAGTGTTCGTTTAATAATGTTCGCGAACATGAATGTAGAATATTTCTTGTTCATAAACGAATTGTGATCATGAACATGTGCAGGTGTTTGGTTATTAAAGGTTCACGAATGTGCTCATGAACGTAAACCAACATGTTCGTGAACGTGTTTGTTAACGAACATGTTTGTGAATATTTTTGTTAACGTTAACGAACACGTTCATTCGTGAACGTTGACAAACACGTTCGCGAACGTTAACAAACACTAATGAACGCTTAACAAACAAACACGAACAAGATTTTCAAAAACCTTAACAAACGAACACGAACACGAACACCCCAAAATTCTTAACAAACGAACACGAACAACCTTCGTTCGTTTATGTTTGGTTCATTAACCGCCCTAGTCGCGGATACTAGGGTCGCGAAAAGCCTTGAACTTTCCACAATTGTTGTTAAACAGTCGCGGAATGTTGAGCATCCGCTATCATTCTTTCAGAAAAATGGTCGCATATATTTATTTATTTATTTATTCGTGACTTTCCCCGATCGTTCTTAGTACAAAACCGTCACAGAAAATGTTAATTTTGTTTTTTTTTTTTTTAAATATCTCATCCGCGACCGTTCTTGGTGAAGAACGGTTGCGGGTGTTTTTTTTAAAAAAAATATTTTATTTATTTTAAAACCCGCCCTAATTTTTTAAAAAATTCCTGTATAGCTCAAAAATCCATATCAACGCATGTTAAACTCATAACTATCAACGCACTATATATCAACACAATATCTATCAACACACTATATATCGACACAATATAATTTATCTACGCACTATATATCAACAGAATATAATTCATCTAACAACACAATATTAGCATCTCAAATACTATCAAGTATCAACACATGCAATACAAATTAACTAACACAATATTATCAATACACTTTCAACACAATAATATCGTCAATACAATACTTTATATCTGTT